CTAGCAATCTGCTGTCGCAACTTGCTCACTAATAAATGTGCATATATCACAGGTATGCCCCTAGACTATGAAGACGCCAATACGTGAGTCACATTCGGAAGATTTCAGTGCCCTGTGAGATTATCTTATTGTATGTCGATTCGACAAAAGCCAAGGACAGACCTTCGACAAAGTTGGTATTATTATACGTACTCCATCTTTCGCTCACGGAAGCACCTATGTTGCATTATCCCTTCACGATCCAAAACACAAATAAATGTGGCTATAAATAGCCGGCGGTCAATCAATGAAACTTTTGCAATCAGAAACATTTTTACTCTGAGATTATTGCTCGAATGGCGTGAAGTGGAAATTAATGTAGGTTGCCTTGAGTGCATTTCAAGAAGAAGTTGTTTAGGTGAGCGATTGTTCCTGAAAGCTATATTTCAGCCAATTTGGTCATATTCTAGTTCAAGCAGATTTACTGCTGGGATTACAAAACGCTCCATTGTACGGGATGAATTGTGGCGTTCGAGGACTAACTATTAGATCGTAAAGAAAGTTCCCGGGCACTTGCGAAAATTTTTCTCAAATCGCTGTAACTTCAAGCAGATTGATTCTTTTTTGAAGCTGCAAACTTCATTGCAAAGACAATTTTGTACATATATTTGTCTTGCTGGCTTCTGAGCACCTCAGTGCTGTCCACCAGCATGCGCAGAATGGAAAAAGTCGTCGCGAAGAGTGGCTTATTTGTGCAGGATTTTGTCAGGCAGGATGAGAGCTGGAGAGCTTAGATGCTGTGGTTATATAGGGGTCTGCTGGGGCTATTATAGACCATTCATGTTTTTGAGCGACCACCTGCAAAAAAATTTTCCCCAGAAAGCTTGAAAAATCGACCATTTTTTGCCCCTAAAATGCACCATTTTTCGAGTAAGTGACTTTGAAGTCTTGTCTTTCTGCATAGGGTGGACCAAATCTTTGATTACTGCGAACATTGTTGGGGTAATGCCTTACACATCTTTTGGACACATCATCCAGGCGTGGCGATCCCCGCAGAAGCGACGCCAGCTGCGAAAAGAGTTGTTGTCAGAGGCAAGTTTGACAGCTTGTAATTTCTAAGCGCAAATCGCAAAACTCGAATGCACCTGCGAGTCAGAAGTTAACAGGCTCCCCAATCAGATCACCCATGATTTGGACGAAATTCTTTGAACTGCACAAAAAATAGCCGTAAAAAGAAAATTTGTGAAATTTTTGCGGTTGAAAAGATTTCTCTATTTGATGTGCAGATCAAATACGTCCTGGAATGGATAAAAGTCAGAAGGCGTATTGAAAACTTCAGGCCTCCCCCCACTGAATAATGTAAAAAACTTGGTGTCAAAGTCCGACCGAGCGCCGAAAAAATGTCAAAGTTCCCAGGCACTTTTGAAAATAAAATTTTCCAAAAGTGCCTGGGAACATTCTTTACAACCTAATAAATCTTCATTGTCTAGAGAGACTCATATTTAATGGACTGGTGTATGTGCTAGGATGCCATGAGCTTCATTAACGATGCTAAAGGCAAGCATTGCTCCGGTGCTTACTTTAAGCTTTCTTGCATACACATATACAAATTTGTATCGAGATGAGCAAAATTCTCACTACCAAAGATAGCAAGACAGGCTTGTATGATTTTTCGTAGTACCTGCAAACGTTATGTTGAGGAGGAGAAAATCTTCATTGTAATAAATCTAGTAATCAAGTCGAAACCGGAGTTGTTAAAGGAGAAAGAGAGATAGCTTGAAGAACCTTCCATCCAAAATCACGCTACCAGATTACTATATATTTGCAAGCAGACTCTGGAAATAAAACATCGTTGGTCCGCTTTTCTAATGTGCTCCTTGGAAGGAGAAAAAGTTCCTGTAATTCACTGGAAGGTATCACGTGCGCACGCAGAGATTGCTTCTTAACGCCACTTGACTCGTTCTGCCATGGTATGCACAGTCAAGACCAGGATTGAGCTTGGGGTCAGGCGCGCTCGTCCTGGGGGTCGTACGGTGCTAAGACTTTCCACTCTCTTTTTCAGATTTGATCAAACTCCATGTTGTTCGTCATTTCTTCTTTCTATATTCCTGCTTAATTTGACTCAAATGGCGCACTGCTTATTTTGACTTGAATGGCGAATAAGCCTAGCGTCAGTGAGTTCATGCGTATATGCTGTGAAGTTAATTCTATGTGTCGCATCCCTTTTTGGGTATGAACTAATGAAGTACAGATTGAATGTTCACTATTTTTCAGGAGACAGCTGAAATATGTATGGTGTTTGCGCTCTTGTCTTTCTGAAGGAACTAAAGAAGGAACTTTACAGCGAATGCTCGACTGCTCAGTTGTTATTCGTAAAATCGATAAGTGCTCTTGATGGATGCTCCTTAAACACATTTCTTGAATTTCTGGACTATTTCTGATTTGCTGGGTATTCCAAAATTCACCTGGATACCGTTCATCTGGCAGTTGCTACCTATGCTGACAACGTTTACGCTTCGGAAAGCCACCTGATATCCTACCTCATTTCTGCTAACCTGATGGTCACGGCTGCTGGACCCACTCCGAAAGATGTAAGTATTTTGAACATCATGTAAAAATAGCGTTGCAGTGTTTTCCAGAGACTGATACGATTATCTATTCTAACCGTCTACGTAATGCTTTTTTTGCTATTGCTCTACTAACAAACATTATTGCAACTCTGTGCATAGCATGTAAGTTCTGGTGTCATTTAAAAATTGGCAATAGTTTGTTTCATTTACAGATCATCGAATGCATCTTGTCATTGCTTACGTGTGCGGCTAAAAGTACAAGAACTAGAATTTTTGTGGCCCACCCACCGGCGCAATCGGAACGCTTGTCTGATGATGTGTGAACCTGCTGCTTCAACTGATCTTTCCATATAGATAAAAAGTTGCTAGCTTTGTAGCCACTTGTATTCTTCGTGCATCTGTGTGATATTATTTTTTGTCAATGTTTCTTCGCATTGTATAGTGTTATAATAAATAGGTCCATGTAGATTCTACCACCCTATATTGAGATTACGGTGCTGAAAGCTAGAATTTAGAATAAGAAATACTGTGTCCCGCTGCCATTTCGCTGCACCACTGACGCATACCGGCCGGCGATCTTACGGGTTCCTGCTGGCGGCCGTTCAAGTACCGGCTGGCGGCTGGCTGGCGACCGTTCCGGCCGAAATGTAGACGACGGACCAGCCTGCCGTCGAACGGCCGTCAGCCGGTGCGAGTGTCTGAGCGTGTGAAAAAGCGGTGTGTTCAGTCACAATCATTATTTTCGCACGTCTATTTTCGCATAGAGAACGGCCATACTCCAGTACTTTCTGCAATTCTTGTGATTTCGAAATTTGTGAAATAACTAGGATTTAACAGTGAGTCTCATCTTCAGTCCATCATGCAAAAACATGTTCTTACTTTGCAGAAGCTTTGGATGGGTAAAGTTTACTCATGTCAAAAATATTTGGGGCTTTGTAAATGATGTACAGTGTTCTGCTTCCTATGAGATGAGCCTTAGAAAAGGACTAGCTTGCTTACCCGGCTCCACTCGGCCCTGTCAAAACACTGTAATAAAGGTCCCATCCCTATCCCTGTACAACCTTTCCCTGTGCCCACTTCTACACTTAATTTCCTTTCCCTGTGTTGTTTTCGAAATCAGCATGCCCACTTACCCCCTGGGCCAATTCCCAGCCCTTCAGCTCAAATTTTGAAAAATCGATAAAAATCGATGAAAGTAATCGAAAGTTCTGAAAACTAATATTGTATTCGGAATCCCCATGCCCACTTACCCCCTGGGCCAAATCCCAGCCCTTCAGCTCAAATTTTGAAAAATCGATAAAAATCGATGAAAGTAATCGATAGTTCTGAAACTAATATTGTATTCGGAATCGCCATGCTCGATTACCCCTCTGTGCCAACTCCCGGCCCCGTAGGTGAACTCTGCAAAAAATCGATAAAAACCGATAAAATCGATATCGATCGATGACGAAAAGTAGCCTATGACACGCTCCCCGCCCCGGAGTGCAGGTGCGCCAAGTTTGGTCCAAATCGGTTCAGAAATAAAAATTTTAATCCCGCACATACGTACGCACAGACAGACACATACACATTCAGCTTTAAATATAAGATTGATAAACATTTTGTGAATCCGTATGCCTCTTATGCTAATCTGATACTCTGGAAATGTACGCATACGCAATGCTCATACTAACGGTGACACAATCTTCGCATGTCCGTTTAGTCTATTTTTATCATATTCGTGCTCCTTTAGCATGGGCTGTGCGGGATCTCCCGTTTTTCGTTCTACCTTTATCTACTGTGAATGTCAGAGTACTCCGGATTCATATTCTCGGCCTTACTCTCGTTATCTATCAGGTTCGTGGTATGCGATCTTTTTGATCCTTTGTCAGCATGTTCATCTTTTACATTGGGCATTTAGGTACCACGGCATCTGAATTCGGGCAATTCAGCCTACACCTCGATGGATGAGCTTGCCAGTTGCTGCATTATGTTCTGTTGACGGATATGCGCATTAGCTATTTGAGACACGATCATAATGTTTTTCGTTCAGGACCACAGTCCCTGCGGAAAACCCTTTGGCAGTTTTTCGCAAGAAAGTAGACGGGACAGCGTAGATGTCCTATGTGTGACGCATAAAGACAAGTCAAACAGTGACTATTGGACACTGCCGAGCAAAACGGCCGTTTTTCAGAGTATCGGTAGACCTCTAACAACGGCAACTCGCAGATGTAATGCACGTTGATAACATCGGTAAGTTTCTAGTGGGATTTCCATTACTAGCTAGTCGTAATTCTTTGATCAATGATTGATATCTTTGACAATACGCGTTTCTGAGATGACATTCCGATTGATTTGTGAATCTTAATCTCCGATTCACACTACAATAGAAAGCCGCTTGATAGAGTTTACTCATGCTAGATAACTAGGAAGGATGCAGTGAAATCTAAAGTTCCGCAAACACGACAAAAAAGATTTTATTGGACGAGACCATGTTAGCAATAAGAGTGTACTTTCATCAGAAGCATTTTCGATGCACAATTGATGCGCCGTACTCATCATATTCAGACCTATTGATCCACATTTGTTGGAAGGTCGATAACGATGCCAATACGGAACCACCAATCCATACCGAATACTTGCGCTCGGGTGGTGCCATGATCTTCACTCTAACAGTTCTAGAATTTGACCAAGTCAGTTGAACAAAGAGGGAGCAGGTGGAGCGCGTGCCAACCTAGGAGCCAATGAAGTAAGCTCTTTCTTAATGCGGTCAGTTATTCCTGGGAACATGGTAGTGCCACCAGACAGTACGATGTTCATGTAAAGATCTTTGCGTATGTCGATATCGCATTTCATCACTGAATTGTAGCAATTTTCATGTACTCCGCTAGATTCTTTACCCAATACGTGCGGCTGAAAACAGATTCTTATTCGCGCAAAGTGACAATTATGGAAACCTACCTGAAACAGTACTTCAGGGGCGCGAAATCGCTCCGAGCCTATTGTAATTTCTTGACCATCAGGTAATTCATAGTTCTTCTCAATAGATTCCATAGCGTGCTCGGCGTTAACAGTCTCTTGTTCGTAGTCTAGTGCAACATAGCAGAGTTTTTCCTGAATGATGTCTTCTTCAGTCGCAAAATTTTGAATTCACTGTCCTCCCTAACCTTTATATCTCTAGCAATTTCCCGCTCTGCCGTTGTGGTAAACGAGTAACCGCGCCCGGTGAGAATTTTTATAAGATAATCAGTCAAGTCTCTCCCAGCAAGGTCAAGCCGGAACACCGCATGAGGCAAGGAGTAACCCTAAAATGAATTCTACTCAGTTCACTCTGAACGAACACTCTGCTGTGAAAGTACCTCGTACGTGGGTACAGTATGAGTAACACCATCGCCAGAGTCAATCACTACTCCGGTTGTTCTGCCAGACGCATACAGTGACAGCACGGCTTGTATAGCCACATACATCGCAGGAACTTGGAAGGACTCGAACATAATTTGAGTCATTTTTTCACGGTTGGAGCGGGGGTTCAACGGCGGTTCGGTGAGGAGCACAGCATGTGAGCTGGGTGTCACACGCAATTCATTACTGAAGACATGATGCCAGATTCGTTCCATGTCATCCCAGTTTGTTACAATCCCATGCTCTATAGGGTATTTGATGCTGAGTACACCTAAAATCGCAAATATTCGATACTCAATTGAGGACCACGTCTTGCACCTCTTTTCGTCTGCGCAGCCGAGCCTACGTACGAGTCACGCTGTTCCGTTCCTATCATAACACCTTGATGTCGTGGTCGTCCGACTATAGAAGGAAAAACGGCCCGTGGAGCATCATCTCCGGCGAAACCAGCTTTGCACATTCCGGACCCGCTATCGATCACCAGTGGAGCGAGCCTGATCCTTGTCATCGACATAGTAGGTGCCAGCGAAGTTCCATGCATCTGCAGCAGGAGCGTTGATTTGCTTCAGACCACGGCGAGGGTCTCACAAGACTCACTGTCTTGTAGTGGTGGAGAGGTCAGATCGGTAGTAGAATGGTCCATACAGCTATCCACAAGGCTTTTATAGCCGTGTTGTTATCTGAAATCATTATCATTTCGGTAGCTTATCACGCCGAATGGACAACAGCATTCGACTTCGGGGACTTCGATGTTGTCTCTCTGATGACAGGCAGCATATCTAAAATTTCCAGATGATATACAGGGTGTTCAAAGCTCTAAGGCCGCAGCTCGCCAAAATCAAGCATTCCGAAATTTTGACATGGAAAGTTGCTTGCACCCCAAACATGAGAACAAAGCAGGTCCGAGCGCACAGCATGCTGCCCTTGCCTAGAAAATCCTATTACGCGCCCATTCTAATACGCGTGGACGGGTTCGCGATTCTCCCTGACCTGTCAGAGAAGGCATGCCGCAGTGTTATAACTGCGAGGGTCCCGCAACGATTCTGCCTCTCTAACCATGGCGGGACGTGCTCCACTTGTCCATTTCAAAGTTGGAGGCCTTGGCGAGTCGTGTTTTTGCCATTTTCGCGCTCTGTAAGGTGGATTTTCGGAATCAGCGCCTCGAATTACCCAGGTAAGCATAAAGTTTCATTTTGTCTGCCGAGCCGCTGCTTTTAAGGCCGTATTTTTCAGGCTACGACTTGACCGAAGCAACCTAGACGGACAAATTCTGGTATATAGTTTAATCACGCAGGTCGAAACAAGAAAAAATGTCAACCTATTGTACTGCACTAATCTTCAAAGAAGACTGCAAACCATTGGGAACGCATCCCCCCCCCCCCATGACACGTGGGTGGTTGACGTTAAGGTTGCCTCACGCCTTCTGATACAGCATTCCAGAGCGACCAATTCGACGGAGATTAGCGTAGGTCTTGCTTTTGCAAGACTAATTATGAAAAAAACAGCGTAGAAAAGCATTGTGAAAACTAGATCTTCACGATTCTGCAAAACGTCGAAACGTTGCAACCATGATGAGGACATCAAAAAGTCAAGTATGGTGTACTCGGCGTAGTTTTAAGGAATTCGGTAAAAATGCAAGCTTTAGCTAGAATCAGCTTCAACTTGGTATAGGATTTTCAGTTCGGCACTTTGTTTCCAAAAACCGTTTCTCCCAAGGTCGAAAACTTTGAAATTTGTGGGATTTGTTTTAGGCTCAAATATAGAATTAAGTTAGCTTCAAAATGTGGAAGTCGAAGACCCACGAAAGCTATGAAGACAAAATAGCTGTATACAGTATATATCAAAAATGTGAACACTGTTAAATCGTTGATAACTTTCTTGCTCTGATGTCTTTTGGCGTATCCTAGGTACGTTCCTTTGAAGCTGGCTTCAACTTACAATTAGATGTACAGTATGGAACTAATCACTGAGCTCTCTTCATTACATAGAAACTTCGAAAAGAATTTTAGCCATTGGGAGCCATATCTTGCCTAAAGAAAACCAAACAAACCTAAACTTTTATACCGCTGAAGTAGCTGGTTGAAGTAGCGCTGTATATGATTGTTGCACTTCACTCAAATGCTTCTTTCATAAGTTATTTCAGGTATAACGCAACAACGGTTTTTTCTATTCGTTAGAACTGCGATTATACCACTAAAAAGCTTTAAAAAATCTTCAAAAGTTGTGGAAATCAGCATGCATGGAAATTCTGCTACACAATTTCCCAGACTCTTCGAAAAATGTCACCGCCTATTTCACAACAGTTCTATATGCCGAAAGTTCCTACCGCAACCCTACAATAACGGAGCTCCATACCGTAAATCTAAGCTGAAGCCAGCTCTATAGAAGGTACTTAAGAAAATCACAAATTGAACAAAGAACTCTCATGCAGAATCTGACTCGAAAGCCACAATTATCGGCAGTTAGAAGTTTGCAAACTTGGCTGAAGACGTTTAGTACACCCGTATAGCCTACAAGCAGTGGCGTACCCAGGATTTTCATTCGGGAGGGGGGGGGGGCGACGCACCCAGAAACCGTTTTTGGCATGTTTCTCAAAAATGGGCCCATAACCCCAAAAAACAAGTTACCTGTACACTTTTATAACTCATGTAAGTAACTTTCAAAAATTTCGCGACCCATTCTCGGGAGGGGGGAGGCCGGCCTCTCCCCCCCCCCCTCGGTATGCCACTGCCTACAAACGAGCCCTAAATATACCTTACATGCTGGATCTGGAAACAACTTTATGTTTATCGTTATGCTCTTAAAGCTATTGTAGTTACTAGCGACCCTACGGGTCGCTAGCAAGTGGGTCGGGGCAGATACAATATAAGGGCTTAGTTGTGACTATAAATACTTCTTAAGTTTCCTATTCCTTTCCTGAGAACATTTTTGCGAAAAGCATTCTACAAAAGGAGAACTGCTCGAAGAAACGATAATCTCCACACTTCATTCAGCATTTCTCGAAATTTCTGCCACAACAATGCATGGAGAATATTATTTTCCTCTCGTTTACCACGCTCTTTCTGCAAATTTTCCCTCCTCTCGGAGACATTCAGATACCCCCCTCCCCACTTTTCTACCCTCTCAAAGAGAATTTGCTCTTCCAGTTCTTCTCAACAAGTTCCATAGAAGATCGTTGAGTAATTAGCAGAACACCTATAGTTTTGGAAGTAGAAATACACCCATAACAACTATGTGTACTACGAAAAACACTTTTCTCTCAGAATCAATTCCGACAGCAACGAAATCAGTCGTGTAAGAACTTTTTCAGAAAATCCTTCAATTTTTTCGCCAAAGGAATATGAAGATTTACTACAAAAGGAGATCCCTCCCCGAAAAGCACGACTACTGAGCCACCTAAAGACCGTCAATCAACATACAAAAAAAATTGTTTTCCTGTCCGATCAAATTGCCCTACGTGCCGCTTACAAACCAATATTATCTATCTGGAAGATAGTTCATGCCCTACGTGCCGCTTGAAGACCGTTTAAAAATTATAAGAACTGCCCCAAACCTACAAAAATCTATTTCCCTGTCCGATCGAGTTGCCCTACGTGCCGCTTAGAGACCGATAATGACCATTTAAAAAGAAAGTTTATGCCCTATGTGCCGCTTGAAGACCGTATATATAAGAAAAGTCAGCTACAACTTAAACAAAAAGAAAACAACGAATTCAAGTATTTACAGCGTATTTTTGAATTGGCGTACATGTCACTAGGACTTTCATTCTGAGAACTGCCCTAGACGCACAAAAAAATCTGTTTCCCTGCCCGATCGAGTTGCCCTATATGCCGCTTACACACCGATACCTAGTTGAAAGCACCAGCGGGACCCACTTACACAAGCAAAAGCGGCTGTTGTTAGATAAATGCTTCCAAATGTACCAGCGAGATCAAGTTACTTACGCACTCTCTTGTCTCCACGCGGAAGCAAGACAGTCTTAAAGTGATTGCTCTTAGAGCATTTTTACGAAGAGTTAAAGGCAGTGTCCCGGCAGATTTTGCATCTCCATCTTTTTGCATGTTTTGGGCCTTTTCGGCCCGTAGACCCCGAATCTGAGCTTTAAAAATGGGTGAAAAGACCTTTTTCGAGGCGTTTATCCAATTTCCAAAAGGCAGCTCGGACGAGAATTTCAGTGGAAAGTTGGGAGTTCCTGGCACGAAGACCTCGCTGCCTGAAACTTTTGCGTTGGATAGCATACACAATGCGGGAGAGCAGTAGTGGGGTCTCGCGCCAAACGGTAAGCGAAGTTGTCCGAGCGCGCGCCGATTGGGGTTGCGCGCGTCGGTTTAGGGGTTATTTTCTCGGCCCAGAGGGAACATCAACCAGCCGGACTGAGCCTAGAGGTCAGTGGGATGACCAGGAACCCCGCCATAGCAATATCCCCCAGGGCGCGAATCTTCCGGGACACTGCCTTCAAGAACATGGATGCATTCAGCTCAAGTCACACTGTTACGCAATTTGGCATCATTCTAAAAGCAACATAACAGCGGGATAACAAGCTCGAAGAAAAAGCAGGTACAAATAACACATCCGGGCACTGGCGATCCAATCTCAAAATCATTGCGGCACTCATGATTGCCTTTCGAAATACGTGTGACCCTTTTGCGAAAATATGCTTGATCACTCGTTTTGAAATTTGGCAGCGTTTTAAAACGCATGCCACTTGGCAGCAATCCAAAGTCAAAGATCAGTATATTTACTTAGATACTTAGATGGCTCGGCTTCACGTGACGTGCGGGCCCCAGCTCAGAAATTTTCATTTCTCCCTGTCCCTCGCTTCAGACATCCACGAAATTCTTGGCTGACGTCGGTGGCTGCGTCCACGAGTTCCAGGTGTCGTATCCAGCTGATTTCTCAGCTGGTTCATCCGTTCCACGAACACGTCTGCCGATCTCGTTGGAGGTCTTCCTCGGGGACGTTTTGCTTCGCGAAGAATCCACTTCGATGTTCTTAGTGTCCATCTGTCGTCTGTTCTTCTCATAATGTGACCGGCCCATCGATGCTTCGCTTTCGCAACGTAATCCGCTGGGTCACGAAGACCGGACATTCTCCTCATATCCGTACTGCGAAGTCCGACGAGATGTTGTTGGTGTCGGGTCATCTTCAGAAGACTACGCTCTAGCGCTCTGTGGATGGTCCTTAAAGCTTTCGAAGTGGCGACGGTGTCAGCCCAAGTCTCAGCTGCGTAACAGAGCGCCGGGAAAACGGTTGAGTCGAACAGGTGGGCATGAACCTCCGGCTCCGTCAGTCGGTCGGTGGCTTCCTTCAGAGGCTCGAAGGCGGCCCAGGCTGCTCTTCTTCTCCTGTTAAGTTCTTCCCTCAAGTCGTTCTCCATGTTCATCGAACGTCCGAGATACATGTAAGAAGACGTCCCCGTGATAGAGGTGCCTTCCAATTCCATTTCTGCATCTTCGCAAAGGGCGTTCTTCATGAACTGAGTCTTCTTTCGATCGATTCGCAATCCGATCTTCTTCCCTACTTCGTTCAGTTCCTTCAGCATCGTCTCTGCTTCAGTGATACCTCAAGAGAACGATGTCGTTCGCAAAACGAAGGTTTGACAGGAATCTCCCATCAACTCGTATGCCTCTCTCGTCCCAGTCCAGTGACTTCATCACCCACTGCAAGGCCGCGGTGAGCAGCTTCGGCGAAACTGTGTCGCCTTGTCGGACCCCCTTCCCAATTGGGATGGTCAGGGGGCGATGGAACAGCTGCATCGTCGTTGTACATTCCTTGTAACAGTCGGCTAACGTCCTCACGTAAGCTGGGTCCACTCCTTGATCGACTAGCGCAGACAGGATGGCGTTGGTTTCAACGCTGTCAAAGGCTTTCTCGTAGTCGACAAAGATCAGGACGAGAGGCAGTCGGTACTCCCGGTAGACTTCTATGACCCTCGAAACAGTCTGGATGTGGTCCATGCAGCTGAATCCTTTTGCAAAATCCAGCTTGTTCTTGGGGTTGGGCTTCGTCCAGTGTCCTAGATATGCGAGCGAGGATAATGTTCGTGAAAAGCTTGTACAGCGCACTCAGCAGGCATATTGGACGGTAGTTCCGAAGACCTTCCCGTTCACCCTTCTTGAAAAGAAGGACGGTTCTTGATGTTCTCCACTGGTCGGGAATCCTTTCCTTCTGAAGGTAAGATGTTAGGTGCGACGCGAGAATCTCGTGTAGACGTTGTCTTCCAGCTCGCAGAAATTCGACGGAAAGATGGTCTGGTCCTGGAGCCGTGGACGTCTTCATGGTCTGAATTGCTGTGCGCACTTCAGCAGGTAGAATTCGTAGTGGTACTTCTCTAGTGGGAGCAACGAGCATCGGCACGGGTGTTGAAGAGCGGAAGAGGTTGGTATGGAAGTTCTTCGCGATAGATTCCATCTTGTATCGGGAAGAAGTCGGAGTCTCGTCTTCGTTTAATAGTGCAGCCAGCGGTACGTGATATTCACAGAGGTCCCTTCGGCGCTTCTTGAGACTTCGTCTTCCTTCGGCTGCTTCCAGTATCTTGGCTTGCCTGTACTTCCTGAGATCCTCCCGCAAAGCTGTTCTGCAACTGGCGTTGGCTATCAGTCGCTCGAGATGGGTTGCATTCGGATCCTGCCTCAGAAATCTTCTTCTTTCGAGCATTTCCGTGGTGGTCTTCGAAATGCGTTCCACGTTCTTCTCGGAAGTCACTGAGGTGCACTCTCCGCAGGCTCGCAATCCTTTCAGAAGCCGGTCGTAGTTGCACGTTGAGTCCTCCTCGATGGGCCAGTCACATCTAGATATGAGCCCTTCCAGCCTGTTACCGTCATAAACGACTTCCTTCCTTCTCGCGGCACTGTGACAGATTTTCTTTTCCAGCCTGCAGCTGAATCGTACCTTCGCTCGAAGGACGGTGATCGAAGCCACTGCAGAAGGATGGAACTACTGAGACATCGAGCAAGCTCCACCTTTGGTTGGTGAGAATGTGGTCGATCTCCGCGTGAGTCGTTCCGTTGGGCGATTCCCATGTCCACCGGCGATGTTCTTTCTTCGTGAAGATGGAATTTTCATGGAAAAGTCGTGCGGCGGAGAGAAGCCCAACAAGATTGCCGTTTTCGTTCCGGAGCCCATATCCAAACTTCCCGATCCTATATTCCTTTTTTCAGTGGCATCCCGATTTTCGCGTTGAAGTCGCCCACAACAAACTTGTAAAAGGACTTCTCGTTGCGGACGATCTCCTCCACATCTTCGTAGAGAGCATCTGTTCTGATTCGTCAGCTGCTGATGTTGGAGAATAGCAGTTGATGATGCTGACGGTCTTCTGATGTGGAGGTCGTAGTCGTAGGATGCCTAGTCGAGGTGATAGGATCTCGTGCGAATCGACAAGATGGACGATAGATGGGTGGATGACAAAGCTAACGCCTCCCACGTTTCGTGATGGAACCTTTTCACCACGAATGATGAGGGTCCCATCACTCATCTGTCGCACGCCCTGCTTCCTGGACTTCGTTTCCTGCAGGGCTATAATGTGGTACTTGATGTGCTCTGCAGCGTCGAGAAGAGCGTGGAGATCGGCGTTTGTGAACACTGTCCTGGCGTTGTAGGTGCAGAGCATGAGGCAGTCTCCATGGCGTATCGTCCAGGCAGACGTGTCGTTTTTGTCCGATCCAAAAGGCGCCCTAAGGACCCTGACATCGTTCTTGCTACCACCCGGCGCCGTAGGCGGGATCCGATGTACAGGGTTTTTTCTAAATATTCTTGCTGTCTGAGTAATAAAATTTGTTCCCCTACAAGAGCAGACTTACTAGGCCAACTCTTGATTTGCACGGGGCGATCGCTGACCCCGGGCTTGGAGCGGGGAGAACCGCCTAGCGACCAGAAAAAGGATCTGGCGTGGCCGGTTCTTAGCTAGGCATCCGGCTGAGACCAGAAACGTCGAACTCCTTCACAGCTTGGGAGGCCCTACCAGAGTATACACTCGGCTGTGCATCGCAGTTCGACACCCAGTGTCACCCCCACGCCACGATGAGGCGACCGACCATTGTGGGGGAAGATCAGTATATTTCATCATAATTTCTCCGTCTGCTGCCTCCTCGTTTGCCTTGTTCCACGGAGGGGGTAACCAAGTGGTAAACAACGAATCCAAAGTATGTTACGTAGTGATACTGTATGATATGTGCTCGGCTTACCAAGATCGAGCAAGAGGTGTGGCACGCTACCGCATACCGCATCCCTCTCCTACCCCGCCGTTCCGTCTCTCTCCCCCTCCCCCCCCCCCCCCCCGCCCCCGTAACTGGCAAAATCGTAATTACCATGTCAAACATGCACTGTGGACTAAGTTTCAGTTTTAGCAAATTCTGGAGGTTTCCAGTATTGGGCCACTTAGGTGAAATGGTTTTCAAACACGTCTAACTTTATTTCAAAGGTGAAGCTATCTCTCTCTCTCTTATACCCCTTCTTTGCCCATGTGAGCAATCCCACTCCAAATTATCGCCAAAATGTGGATTTAGGAGCAAGCCAAAATCTCATTTGTCCCATTTTTCGCTTACAGTAGTTCTGCTTTCAGCAACTACCACACAGATTAAAGGCAATGTATCAGGCTCAAATTACTTCTGTGAAAACTACGAGATTTGAACTATCGAACTGTAATTAGATAGATTGTACGCTAAAATTCCCAACATTCTTAACGATGTCTCGTAAATTCGTAAAAACGTTGCAGAAGGTACAGTATGGTCGTAAATACAATGCGAGGCATAAACGCGTTATCCTCTATGAACGATGGGATGAATTCTAATGAAGTTTTCACTATGATCACTCCAATGTAGAAGTTGTGATATTGAGGGGAATATCGAGCATTCCAACTCAATCTACGGCTCCACCCTTGGAGTATTGTCTTGCATTAGAAAAGTATGGATACATTTAGCCCCAACATTTTGATGCGACCTGAAAGCCAGTCTTGTCCCCACACTTAGTTTACACCGGATGAACCATTAGAACCATCTCCATTCCTCTTTGTTTTTGCTACTGTTGGCCATAAATTTCTGGCCCTGAGTATCCGGGTCCCAAAATTCCAAAGTCGCCAATTTCGCTCACATTCGGGGTTGAAGGCAATTCTTCGACATAATGATTACGAATATCTCACTCTTTATGCACTAAACTGTCATGCACTAAACCATTTGGTAGGCCTACGGTGAGATATGGTAAGGTTTCAAATCATTTGGCTGGAACTTGGCATAGGGAAGATTTCCAACATGCTGTCGCGCATACCATAAGCTTTTCGCATGGTAGGGCTCATGAAGTTACGGTAGGTATGTGGTATGGAATCAGAACCACAAATTTGCTCCTGACTTCGTCTACGGTGTCATTTGGCGAGTTGTAGATGAATATCATGATGTGAATTACGGTGGATGTGCAGTAGATGGATGAAGTTCCAAATTTGCTAAAACGTTGCCTAGAAGGGTTTTTAGGTATGCTGGTCAGGAATATGATGCTCACTCGCTGCCTTACCGTCGAGTTACGGTGATTTGCAACGTTTAGATAGACATTTTCTCGCTCTTCATACCTTAAATCACAAAAATTCACTAAAATGCTTTATTTCATGAACTGAGCACGGTATTCGTGATCAGCACTTCAGATAACCTCCCTGCAAGTTTCAAGAAAGTCAGCGATTTTGACGCTCCACCACAAATCTACCGTAACTCCGCAAAAAGCTCCCAAATGCAAGGAGAGTATGGATACGTGATCAACATGTCGAAAAACCCCTACCGAAATCCTACTAAATCGAAAACGTGATTTTGTCCTCCTACCGTAAGCTACGGTAACTCCATGAAAGGCCCCACAATGCAAAAAAGTGTGATATCTGTAGTCAGCATGTCGGATGCTCCAAAGGCCAAGTTTCAGCAAAATCTTTGATTTTCAGCCTCGCCTTACATCAATGTAACCTTAGAAGTTGGCGCTACCGCGCGAAATTGATATAATGTTCATTCTGAGCGAGTCGAAATCCCCTATACCGATTTGAGCTAAATGGTCACATGTTATGCGCGCTGTTCCGGTTATCCCACACAGTTACAGCACCATTCTACAAGCGCACCATTTTCTCCCCAGATTTGATCAGTCCAATGCCAAAAGACTCCAGACAAAGGGACCCTATGCCGTGCAGCTCATAACTCAAGAAAATATTGTGGCGTAGCGATCTCTTCGCGAGACACAGTGATACGGCCGATCGACCACGAAAGACACTTCTTGTACTCGTGAAGTTAGGTTACGACATCATGATAAACAATGAACTTCTGATACAAAAAGCTATTTCATATTTGTAGCACACATTTATGCACAAAAGTTGATACTCCATTTCGACCGACAAAAATGGACGACAAATATCAATAGAGTAAGAGCATTAGTACATGGACAGCTTATGGTACATGCAACAAATAACAATATGTCATCAGCAGTCACACGTACTTGTATTTAATGCATAAGCGGAGCAGGTAACAATCATACACGTAAGAGAGACTCTGAATGACCGTAATATGTTACACTACACATATATACAATTAGAAATTTAATCTGATCAAACACGTAACAACCGACTAGGTCAGATGTTTTTACAGCCCAGAAAACAAGAGAAACAATTAAGTACAAGAGCAGCTAACAGAGAAGAAATTGTAGAAGGTGCTCTACATATGAGCATGCATTCCTCCATTTACGCCTATCGTCTCTCCGGAGATGTAACTAGCCTCGTCGGATACCTGGAGAGAAAACATCACATTACAAAGTCCTCAATAAATAACTCGTGGTCTACAAAATCCATAACTTCAAGCCGTGAATTTTTGCAGCGGGTAAAAAAAACTGACTTGGATATGTCTGCTACATCGAAAGCGATAGCGATAGACATACCAAGAAAGCAACGGCGTCCGCACATTCTTCAGCATCTCCCAATCGATTCAGTGGAATGGACCGTAGCCAGTTTTCATGATCAACTTCATTTGCATACAAAGCTCGACTGAAGTCCGTTCGAATAATGCCTAAATCTTTTCTTTTTGGACGCTATATCACCAACTTAAAACTCTGCACTGCAGACTAACAAATATTCAACCTAGGTGTTTTTTCTAACAGACGCTAAGAATACACCCATCACCGTTAATCGTAAACAACGAAGTTCACGTGCTGCTGGACAGCAATTCGTTCGAGCCGAGGTGTTTTGCAAAACATTCACGTGCCAGTAAAATTTTGACGCAAAAGTAATTCATCTGCAAGACTTAATTAGATGACCTTCACGCATTTGCTTGCGCGACCGAAAGTTACTAAGTTACTATTACTAAATCAGTGTCCTTGTAAACACTCCAGGAAAACCGGACGATGGAAGAACGCTCCCAACGTGTCACATCCAATGAAGGTCACTGATTTAGGTTACATCCTAATGCACTTATCACGGTTTCAGCAGTAATACGTTGGCTGTTATTGCTTATGATTTTTTGCAAAGCATCAGCACATCCTGGGCAAGGGAAGGAGAGGATTTAGCTACCCAAGATTACAGCATACATCTACCTGTCCGGAGATCTCACGAGCAAAGTCGCCCAGCACTCAATTTCAAAGAAGTTTCAAAGAAAGCTATCGTTTGAAGTGCTCGATGTCCCAAAGAAAAGAATCAAAGTTGAATATAATAAAAGTGAAGTGAGATCTCTGTAACTCTGTCTCCGATTTGCAGAGCTTTTTTCATTTCTACAACTTTTTGCAGACATGCGACGCAGCAGGTGTCTCAAATCACGCGGCGTAAATCGCTGCGACAAGTCATGTGTAATGGATAGTATTCCAGCGGAATTTCTGACCATGGGAAAACAATCTGTTATGATGTACAGTTGCTCTGCACGTGATCGTTTGTCAACTTATTTTAAATTCTACGGAGATCAGGTTACGCTATACCAAGTTTATCCAAATAGGCTTACAAGGAATCAGTATTAGAGGCAAAGCCAACCTGGTGCAATGGCGTTCACTCGGATGTTCCTTCGGGCGAGGGATTGGCTGAGGGCTTTGTTTAGACCAATGAGAGTACTTTTCATCACTGAGTAAGCTCCAAGTCCATCCATTGAAGCGTATCCGGCAACAGAGGACACGAAAACAACATTGCCGTGGCCGCTAGCTTCGAGGTGAGGGAGAGCTTCTTGGGTCAGCTGGAGAGCTGATCGTACCTGAAAAAGATGATGGGAGTCTTCGAGAACAAAAGAATGAGGCAATTTGAACTCTATTCTGCCAAATAAAGTGCTTATCTCCGGAAAAAAGCCGATTTGTCAAATAAGAACTCGAATCTAAATTTCGTATATTGAAAGAGGTCAACTACTAATAAGCATAGGGCAAATCCTGTTTTGAGGAATGCTCAAATTCTATTCACGCTGGAAAAAAAGCGTAGGTGGTGGAGAGAGAGTGCCGAGCTTACTACCGTATTCCGCCGTGCCTCACAAACTCAATTTCAAGCAATGTCGTCTTTGTCTTCCCAAAAAACCACGCAAGTCTGCATTATTCAAATTACATTCAAAGTTGCATGACGTGTTGACTTCAACTCATTCACAAAACCTGCAGCGCTTCATTTAAACTTCATACGTGCTTGCAAAAATGGCCTGATTATTCTATGGGCCAACCTTGCATACCTATGTGCCTAGGCAAACAACCGCGGAACTCTAGAAAGTGAATACCCGACCATTAAGCTAAAAACGCAAAATGGGCAAAGATCCAGTTTCTTCATCTGCGCCTTCATCTTTGCAGCTTCCTGACAGGATGATTTATATTTTCACTTTGCGCAAAGTGCATACCCATCCAGCAAATTTACTCCACATTCTTTCTCATTGCAAAAAGCAGCATCAAAGTCCAAAGCAACACATATCTTGCACCCAAACAGAAAAAGTTACTTACATTGATTGTGAGAAGTTTATCCCATTGGGAATCGGATATGCTCATGAGATCACCAAAGTGTGGATTTGCTGCTGCATTTGACACCAGGATGTCAAGTTTACCAAATCTATAAGAAAACGAATAGAAGATTGCGATTCTATGAAAAAGAGATAACAAACGTACTGATCTATGGCAAAGTTTATCAGCTTCTTGCGATCTTCTTTTATTCCAACATGAGCAGCAATTCCAGTAGCTTCAATGCCTTCCACTCGTAAAGCTCGAACTGCTTCCTAAACATTAGCATAAATTTGTCCTGATATATCTTTGCAGTTCCTACACAAAATTTCGTAGGTACGCCCATCCAGATGGGTAAGAAAGACATACTCATATCCATTTCATTCAAGCATCAATACAATGCAATACATAATTCTCCGGCATAAAAAATGAGGATTCACATTTACAGTTTCCCCCACCCCACTTCTTCTCAGTATTTGCCTTCATCATTTCTTTTCAAAAAAGTATCCCAAAGCATCCGCACGTGTTTCTTTGTGTACTCGATTCGAGAGATGTTTTTCAAGCTATGCTCGATGCGGGCCACTGATCAAACACGTGCAAAACCGCAGGTCATGACCACTATCCTATTTCATGTGGGCGCCATCGGATCGATGACGACCCGCATGGCAAAAAATGTTATAATTGTAATGGCAGAGGTGCACGTGAAGCAGACCGTTCCGAAAAGCAAAGGGCATTCAAGCAAAAACACAAGCTCGAGTGTTGCAAAAAATGACCTTATAGTGGATTGGATTACAACAGTTGGTCGAAGTGTTGATATTACAGCCACAGGCCTGTAAGATCAACAATCCACTTGTGTTTTTACTGTTGTAATTCAGTATACCATAAAACCATTTTTTGCAACAATCGACCACAGTCGATACATGATGTTTTGAAGCTTCAAACCAATCTGCTCAAAATGCACTAACGCAAAACCAACTTTGGCATTGACCTAGAATCGAACATAAGGGAAAGCGTGGTAGAGCTGCTCCAGGGGCGGTATGTAACAATCGCCCGTCCGGGTAAGTTACCCGGACAGATACTTTCCGCTTCATAGCTCGGTGCTCTGGGGATCTGTGTTATTCCTTGTTTGTTCATCTTTGGGAGGCTCTACTACCCTAATATTGTAGCACAATGACTAGCAGCACTTTGCCGTATAAGCTGAAATAATTCGTTACTTGTATGATCCCGAACGGGATCTCCCACTAATCACGCTCATTCTCAAAGTTATTTATATCCGCAAAAACTCAATGAAGACGTCACAGAGTTTTGCTGTCAATCTCTATTTCGACAATGTTACGCATGTTTTTAGTAGCACAGATGAAATGTGCAAGTTTTGAGTTTTTCGATAAAGCCCAATTCGCGAGCACAGGTTCAGCGAAGATTTTGTCAACTTGATTTTTCACTTATTTCTTTCACAAACATGCGTAGCACTGTTGTAATGAATGGACAGCAAAACTTTGTGACTTCCTTGAGTTTTTGCGGATGTAAATAACTTAAAAAGAGCGTGATCAGTGGGTGATCCCATTCGGGATCATATAAATAACGAATTATCTCAGCTTATACAGCAAAGTGCTGCTGATCATTGTGCTACAATATAAGGGTAGCAGAGCCTCCCAAAGATGAACAAACAAGAAAGAACACAGATCTCCAGAGCACCGAGCTATGAAGCGGAAACTACCTGCCCGGGTAACTTACACGGACGGCCGATTGTTGCATACCGCCCCAGATAAGACAGTCGGCGTCGCTCGAACAGTTTGAGACGGTCTCAAGAAACTGCGCCTTTTAGTTTTAGGTGTTAATTAAAACCCTTTCATTATTCTAGGGTAAATTATGATCTGATGATGAGTCAGATGAAGTACTAATGGAGCAAATGTGGGAAGATTCTTACATACGTCAGAAGCTCGAGTAAGAAGGTGCTCCAACCGATAAAGCTAAGAATGTTTCCATGTATGAAACCAATAAAAACTGACCTCTACATTACTTGGTTTTCTGCTGCTAACAACCACAGAGGCGCCATCGGCTCCGAGACGTTTGGCAATTGCGAAGCCGATACCCTGAAACACAGAACTTTACTGGATTCTATATGAAGTAAAGAATGAAAAGTGTGAAGTGAAGAGAGTTTACTGCAAGGACACGACTCTTTGGATTAGCGATGAAAGCATTTTACTGCTTACATACGTTTTTGTCACTGCTGCAGGAAGTCAACAAAAGAGCGCATTTCTTACTTGTACTTCTTCAATGCCTAAGCTTGGCTAAGCTCCCAGGTATGACGTAGAAGCCGAAAGGACAGCAAACAAGGGCATCAAACTGGAAGCTTCTGCGTTTCACCTTTTCATGTCATTGAAAGTCCACTGCAGAAGGCATATCGAAGCAATCAAAAGTACATCTTTATAATATTCTTCGTCGAATTCTCATAGAAGACGATCAAAGGGAAAAGAAGACTTTCACAGAAAACTTTCTTTCGCCTCTGATAACAGAAAATTCATACCTTAGTAGAGGCGGAAATAACCGCCACACGGTCGGTAAGAGCTTTGGTAGCAAGCAAAGCGGACATTCTGAAAAGGATGAAATTCAACTGGGTCTTCATTGAGATATTATCAAATTCACTACGACGTTGATGTCTGCTATTTCAAGCAAAGAATTTGCACTTTACATTTTCGAAATGAGATTTGCTCCACTTCATTAACGCACAGGTTTTTGGACGTCAAAATTATAGGCCGCAGCTACGGCATGCTCTTGCATGCCTCCGAAGAGCTTAACTGAAGTATAAGCACTGTGCCTGTGCGATAAAACAACAAAATTGTATAGGCAGCTCCTCAAAACATGATAGAAGACATTTAGATTCAATATACGTGATTGCGGACAAAGAGAACGCATATTTTTTACATCCTCAGCTGCTTCAAAGTTCAAAGCTGGAACAAATGGATGGAATGGTTGAACACAATGCAATTTACATTCGATGTTGGATAGCCAATGTACTTTGTACAAACAGATTTATCGAGTTTTGGATTTTGATTTTGAAAAAAAAATTTAATTCAGGCCCACGGATAATCACTTATGGAAAAGCAGACACCAAGGCTAACACTATCGATCTAGCACATGAGTAAAATACTCACGATGAAGATGCCATGGCAAATAACGGTAAGTTTCACGAGAGCGAACGGATAGCGACCACTGCTTCGCAAACACTGAGCAAACGCGGCAGCCGAGGGCGGCTAAATCGGTTGGCGGTGCAGCGGCGGGCGGGGCCAGCCGCCACCTACCGAAAAAAAAAACAGGGCTGGAACACGCGCCAGAAGAGTATGATGCATTAGTGTTAAATGCGATATGTCAGCTAAATTTACAACCAAAGAAATGGAAAATGGATGTTGGAGGCGTGCCAAATGCAGTCATATGACGGCATACTCACCCCAGATCTACCTATTTGGGCTTCCCGCCAAAATCACTTAGCGAAAGCGGGCAAAATGACCTCCTACAGGGACTAACCAAAAAGTAGGACGGCAGAGGGTAACCAAAACTAAAAAACCGACGTTTTCGTGGTAAGTTGTGCACTTGCGTAGACTATGCACGTTACGCGTAAAATCCACGGCCTTCGGTTCTCCACGGAGCGCACCCTTGTGGAAGTGCTTTTCAGTGCCTTTTGCAGTATTTCATTCTCTTGATCAAGAAAAAATGAAATAGGGTTTTCTACAAGATTGCGCAGAAACCCGACGAATTACAAGATTTTTTACGCACAATGTGTGGTGTGCAGTTGCGCGTACAGTGTGTCCCAATCCAGACATGATAAAAGCTAGCATGTGCGTTCGCGCCGCTAGGGTACCCCGGAAAAAGGCCAGAAGCGCCAGAAAGGGCCGGAACGCTCCCTTTTGCGCGCAAGTTTTGCGGCTGTGTTGTTTTCGCAGCCGAGTCATTTTGTTTCTTTTTTTTGTTGTCTGCACATCATAATGTCAGAATTCCAGCAAAGGTCTAGGGGCGTTCCGGCTCCTTCTGGTGCTTTGGGGTTTTTTGCCCTTTCTGGGCTTTTTTGGGCGCTTTCGAGCTATTTGAGGCGCTTTCGGGTTTTTTGGGCGCTTTTGAGCTTTTTTGACGAAATGACGGGTCTCTACGGCTTTGCGTCACGTCTATGTTCGCCTTTCGCACAGGTGGTCGTGGTAGGACCTGTCGTTTTCTTTACTGGTTTTACTCCGGAACATGGGCGTCATCTAAATCTACTTAACCGGCTGCGCGGGCGGTCGCGCGCGTTTCTCACAGCGTGGTAGGACCTAGCACATTGAGCTTGGGCCACGCTTGCTCGCCCAAACTTGGAAAAGCGTTGGGCATGTTATTTTGAATCTTTCAAAACTTGAAAAGGTCAAAGAAAATCCTCAGAAGTGCATATTTTTATATTCTCCATTCAAAGGATTATATCGTTCTCAAGGAGCTGCTCTGCAGCGAACATTCCTACGAGAGTCTCAGTCCGCGCATGAATGTACATTTTCAGCGGTCTACTTTTCCTGTAATGCTTAAAATCATGTTTTTTTAAAGAAGAATTGATGCCACTCTAAGAAAATGTTATTGCTTCTTTCTTTGGTACGTTTTACATGCTAATTTCGGACGTTTGACTGCTAGTTTTCCTCCATGAAACAAAATGCTCTTCTCTTCAGTCTTTATTCCAACACCAGCTTCGAAATTCAAGGACTAGTTAGATAAACTGTTAGATAGGAACAATGCTGTCCCATACTCAGGCCTGAACTTTCAAATTTTCAACAAAATCCCACTGAGAAAACGGAAAAATGTTTCGTGTCCAAGGGATCGAGAATGCCGAATGTTGTCTCACAAAATCGAAGCTAATCGGTGATTATGCACAATGAGATCACACTTCAACTTGTACGTGCAAAGCTCTTTCAAATCTTCTAGTTCATAATAAATAGTTGATATGTTAGCGGAGGCCCAATTGTAGGCCCTAAGAGACAGAAGTGCAAGAACTCAAGAAGTATGAGGATAGGTATCAAGCCGCTCAGAATTCCCTTCTCTGAAGGCTTCCATAATTCAAAAAACCATCTCTTGACAATGTGGCGATAGAATATGATAAATGTTGCATAAAATGTTCTAAAGCACGGTGAGTCCATTGTAGCGCATTCAATTCAGTACAGTAAGGAAACATTTCAATCACATTTGCCGCGAAAGAGCACGTCGAAAACAAAATGAAAGTTTTGATGCCATTCACTGCATGATAACCTTATTTGGAAGAAGAAAGCTCTTATGGGGACTTCCTACCCACTAAAGGTATATAAAAAAGCTTCTCTTCTCAATACGGGTGAGGATTAAAAGACCATTCATCTCCTCAAAGATATTCTCAAGGACTCTTCCTACATCGATGCTGACAGCAAGAAGAATACATAACATGCGCAAGTGATTTTCAAGTGAGGCGTGGCCCATCAAAACCCTAGGTCCCGGCACGCACTGAGAGGCGCGCGCGACCGCCCGCGCAGCCGCTTAAGTAGATTTAGATGGCGCCCCGGACATGCAGCGCGAACTCGCCAGCGCTCAGCGTTGCGGGCGCGCGATTGCGAGCAACGTCTCGGCTTGATTCCATTGTGAGAGACTGTGTATATAATCCCAATTCTTCATTAATTTACACTTTTATATGCGATGGGTGGGAGTCTACTTCCTTTAGCGCAAGAACATCATATATAGAATGAGATTTCAGCAAAATGGAATTTTGTGCTGTGGCAAACTTCCTTTTGGTTCCCACGTATCAAGTGGAATGATTTGACCAGTAGTATTATTGCCTCAGATGCCTCAGTTCAATGGGGTCACACAAAGTTATCCGGGTTGCCAGGTGTTGTCCGGAGAATTCCTCACATTAGATTTTGTTTGGCTGACAAATTTACAGCGCATATCCGCCAGCGCAAACAATTTTACTGGCGGATATCTATCTCTTGATCAGAAAATCATTTTTCCTTATCAGAATCCAATGAATTGCCCTCATTTCTTTGTTTTTTCTTGTCTAGACACAATGTTCCGAAGTGCGAAAGGACATGTAGTTGCTGACGTGGCGATGATTATTCGGAAACGATAGGCAATAAAATTGTCAAGACATACATGTGATATGCGCATGTTTTACAGCAAATGGAATTTATTTCCGATGAAAGCAGAAAACACAAATGCATTATGAGAACGTGATCTAGAGATAGAATATCTGCCAACAATAAACACAAAAGTCATAAGACGAATGGAGACTTTGCGAAAGTAATTCACATGACTGTCATTGAATTCAACACACAGGGCTTTTGAGCAAAAGATTGAAAAGAAAGGGAACATAAGGGAATTTTTCCGATTATTTTCGCTATAGTTGCATCCTGCACTAACCCGGGGTCCAATTACCCGGGCACCCGAATTCACATACTCTCAAAATTGTAAATCGTCTTGTCTTCCAAATAAACAATTTTTCTTATAGCGAAGCTAACCATTGAGCTGTGGAAGACCTGGGAAAGCCCCTACATCGCTTATCAACTGCAGTGTCGGGAGCACCTGCATGTCCGCTCCCGCGCGGCCGCTTCGCCTGTACTCTGCACCTCTTTCTCGGACATCCTTCTGAACACTTTCCCGCCACGAGCGTGGGAAAGGCGGAGCCTCGATCGATTGGGTATGAAAGGAGCATGTTCACGGAAGAGGCGCAGAGTCTCGCGCGGGAGTGAGATGCTGGTGCACCCGACACTGTAATTGGTAAGCCCTGTATAGTCCCTTATCCACCCACAGTCTGCGAAGTCCGCGTCAGACCTCACATTAAAAATCACATGGTCTCTAACATCAACAAAGCTTGAAAAATCTATATGCTGATGTTTCTACAAATATTGTTTATTTTGGGAAAGGGCTGATATCGTGCTCAGGTGGCCGACAGCATTCGTGCATAGAAATAAGATAGGGAGCCAAATTTGATCATTTGCGCTGATCTTCATTTACGCGCAAATGTTGTCTACGCCGCAGAGGCACTATTTCAAGCTCTAAACTAATAGGCTGTGCTGCTTCAGAAAAAGAGCAAACTTCGTTTTTTTTGGAGATTCAATTCTGAGTGGTTCTGCCACTCATTAGCTTTATCTATTGATGAGTAAATGGAGTCAGCACAAGCCATGTTAAGCTTATTTAGTGTTCCATTATGGCTGAAAGAGAGGCAAAGTGCTTAACCCGACGTAGCACTTTGTCACGTGTTGCACTTTAGCAGCTTTTTGCACAAAAACATTCAATAAAGCTGCCTTCTGATGGTGTACGCTCTGTTAAGACGGTGATTTATCATTTCTCGTAAAAAGAGCTACGCTTAGTAGGGCAAGTTCAGCAGGCGGCCGGCAGCTAGGATTGAAGGTCAGTGTGTGACGAATCCATCATTTGGAAAGATGGACTGAAGCAAAAACGCATACTTGGTAATATTATATAGAGTCAAAAATTAGGAAAAACATGTTGCACTTATATTTTGTCAATGAAATTGAACTAAAAGGTTGGGAAAGGTGCTTTTTGATGATAGAAGGATTGTTGCATAGAAAACTGATAGTCGTTTGTTACATAACATAAAGTTTGCTTGCTAAGCAATTACCACACATTTGCAACTTTATCTCCTCGAATGGATTTTTTTCTTGGGCACACTTTCAAATTTAGGAAACAACTATGAACTGCAAAACGACACTGTGAGGGAATCTAATGAATTTTCTTGACAAGAATGAACTGATTTCAATTTGTACATATCATTCAGCAAAACATTAGTATTCACGCACCTGGATAGTCTTTTTCTTTTCTTTTTTCTTTTTTCTTTTTCTTTTTCTTTCTCTTTTCACATACAATGATAAAAAAATTTGTTCGAAATACTGCAGCATTTCTGAAAATCTGCATTCAAATGTTATTGTTGGGAACATGAGAGCAGTATAATCCAACTATTTTTTGGAATCACTTTCTACTAATTTTTACTTCAATCGGTACTTTTTCGTTATCCGGACCCATTTCTTTCAAAAGGCTCTCATAAAATACGTTGTCTGGTCTAAGAATAACTTTTTATAGGTTTTTCAAGGACTGCCTCCTTGCCACGTGCCAGGAAAGTATTGACGCGTTTTTGCCCTTTTTGACATGTTTATATCGAAATCATTTCCGGTCAGGTAAAAAAGCGTTTGTGATCACCCAAAAGAATCTCAATTATGACATTTTCATCGTTTTCAGCAATGATTCAGCAGTGTCTTTCTCTTCAAACTTTTCGCGTTGCGCATTTAGCCAGACGAGACTATAAACGATGGCTCAAAACTCCTCGCTACTGCTTGTTTTGTCGTT